TCTTTCATCATATTGCCTATCATTCGTTTTGTGAAAATATGTTGTCCCAGTTCTTAATACAACCTCTGTATTTGGATAGAATTAACTATCGCCATTAGAAAAAAACATTCAGGTGCCTTTATATACCACACAAATACCCTTTATTTTTTTTCCATCAGTCAAAAATAAACTCAACCCAAGACAGTTATTTTAAGTGATAAATTTTTGGTCTCCCATTTTTATCCCTAAACCCCATCTCAAACCCTGAAACCTCAAAAGGAATCACAAAAGGCTACATACCTTATCGGTCCTCAATAAAGGATGAGTGACTGTTGTTACTGCTCAGGTCTTCATAATTCTCATACCATAAAGATGACAATCATTTGTTTAGACAATTGTCCTCAATTCATTTTTGTCCTAAACTGTAGCATCTCCACAGGAATCACCATAATCTTTAATAAAAACAGAGCTCATTTAGGGTAGAAGCTCAGAAAATTTAGAAATTTTGGTTTTAAAAATCCGTCACCTACCGCAAGACCTTCATGTGAAAAATTATATGGAGTACTCTTTACCCTGATCTCTTCTTCTTCCCCCCCCCTTTTTTTTTCTGTCTTCTCTGGTTTACAACAGACACAGTTATGTTATAGCCACAAAGCAAAGTTTTGCAACAGAATGGCCTTGAAATAGAATACTGCCCAGCTGAAAACTTAGGCAATCAAAATGGAATAAATGAAATCGTGCCTGCTAGACTTCACATGTCATTTCTTATAAGGAAAGCTATCACCTTTTTAGGAGAATGTTATTCTTTAGGTGACCCTGTACCCTCTCCATATCAGCCATAGCACTGCAACTAAGACATAACCCTATTATCTACAAGTGTTGCCTTAGTCACTAAAATGCAGTGTCTGAAACTATGTTAAGTGCTACGGCTTGGAAACAACTATAGTGTTTCTCTTAAGAGTGGTAAAATCATGGGGTGCCTGGCTGGATCAGTAGGTGGAGTGTGCGGGGTTGTGAGTTCGAGCCCCACATTGGCTATAGAGATTACTTTAAAAATATTTTTTAAAAAAGTGGTAAAATCGCTGAGGGCACATAAACTCTTTAAAAATGGACTATAAAAGTATTTTAGGGGCTTCGGCCCATGAATTAAATGCTGCAGTAATGCTCTGAAACCAACGCCTGTTTCTCAAAAATGTGTTAGTCTGTATGGGGTTTTTTGTTTGTTTGTTTTTTTGTTTTTTTGCAAGAGGCCCCACTCTGGCCACAGATGACTTGCTTGGGTTTCAAAGTCTTTTTCTTTCTTTCTTTCTTTCTTTCTTTCTTTCTTTCTTTCTTTCTTTCTTTCTTTCTTTCTTTCT